CCAGTACCAACCAGGAGGGACACGGATCTAATAAACATGTGGTTGCATTCAGCCTCCCCAAGACCCTGTCCACATCTTCAGGAGCAACAGAGTCAAACTCCTCCCATACAACCGTCTCAAGACCTGCTCCCGTCTCCTCCCCCTGGGCCAACCAGTCGGAGTCTAAGCCTTCTCGGATCTGAGCGACTTTGTCATACAGATACTGTGCAAAATCCTCAGCCCTCCCCTCCAGGGGGTCCCCCCCCCTCCAATTGAAGGAGAGAGCGGGTCACCCTGAAGAGGGCGGCCGGGCGATTATCTGATGACGCAATGAGTGAGGCATAGTAGTTAGTCCTAGCCTCCCTCATCGCCACAAGGTAGGATCTAAGATGTATTTCCTGTGTCATGTATTCTGACCTGAGTTTAGGTGTGCCTTTGGCCTTTGTGAGTTAGTCCTGTCTCAGGTGGGATATGCAGATTTTAGGGCTTTCTCTTCCTAATCTTCTAGCTCCAACTTTCCTGATGGTTTACATCTGGATTTCTACAGAGCTGGTTTCTGCTTGGGGGAGACAGACTTGGGGCTATTAAGAAAAACTGGGCATGCTTTTCTGTCTCTTTAAGATCCTTGGAGGAAATATATTTTTCTGCCCTTTTTAATATTTCCTTCTCTGGGGGGCTGACTTCCCACTAGCAAAGGTATAACCGCAAACAACTATTGAGATCATTATAAGAATTGAGCTTTGTTTACAGAATATTAGATGGTGATAGATAGGATGTGCACAGAGGGGCTTCCTGGAACATGGGGAGGGGGACAGTGGATTTAGGCGGTCCGGATAGTTTATCCGGATGGTTAGGGAAGGGGCATTGAGTGTGATAGGGGAGGGGGAACTTGCGTCGGGAGTAGGATATAAAAATGTGTCAAACAGCTCTTGAAGGTGTGGCTGGACTCCTCCGTGTGTTTCAGCTCACCCAAGCCTTTGCGAAGGCTTCTTTTGAAATAAAACTTTGTTGCTGGAATTCCAAGTGAGTTTCTTTGTTTTGGGATCTTGAGCCACGTTCCAAACAGTCCCGAAGCCAGAACCGGTTCCGGAGGAGGGTGGGCAGATCCCAGGGAGCGGAAGGGGCAGGACGCCTCCCTCCTCCTCAATCTCTCCAAGCCCTGCCAGATGGAGGGGACCCCTGGGAGACCCCCCATTCCTGCTTCCCCTGGAGAGCCTATTCCATGGCTGGGAAGCTGCTGGAGCTGGAGGTTCTCCTGGGGTCAGCAGGGGTCTCTGGCCTCCTGAGTGGGTCACAGGATGGGCCCCCAAGAGCAGAGAAACCCATCAAAGGTTTACGAGGCCCATCGAGCGATTCCCGGAAAGCCCCTGGGCATGTTCAGAGAGATTCTTCCCTGCTCTTTGGATGCTCTGCTGTGGTGAGATCCTCATTATCCTTCGGATGGTAACCTTGTTTGGGGCTGGGAGCATCATGAGGGCCCCAAACCCCTCGGCCGCCTTCCAACCTTAAGGCAGGATGGGAACTCCTGGTTTCAGCCCGGCCCCTTCACTGCCCCCCCACCAAAACCTGCTCTTCTAGTCCTCATCCATGGTGGGTGGTAGTGGAGGGTTCCTGAAGAAGCCCCCAACATCAGGTTAGCCCCGGGGTCTCCCTTGGGTGCAGGAGGAAGGCCTGTTCTGCCTCTTCCTCCTTGCACCGGATCCCCTTTGGCATCTCTTAATCCCTGAGGGGGGGAGGTGTATGAGGTTCCCTTCCACAGGGGTCCCCAAATCCTGGGCCCTGGACCAGCACTGGGCCCCAGAATGGCCAGAAACTGGGCCACACAAACAAGTGAAGCCCCCTCGGTGGATTGCAGGCAGCACCCGAATCCAGGGCCCCCTCCTCTGGTGCATGGAAACATCTCTCCACACGGAAAGGTCCCTGGGGCCCCAAAGGTTAGGGGCCACTCCCCTACCAGGTTCCTAGGGGGGCTGCAGAGAGAGAGGGGGGTCCTTGGGGCAAAACCCCTACCCAGAGCAGCCCAAAAGGGGAGGAAGCTGAGGGATCCTCCAAGTGGAAAGGGCCTCCCCCCTGGAAGTCAGAGGAATCTGAGGGGATCTCTGGAAAATGGGGGGCCGGGAGTCGGGAAGGGCCCCCTCAGCCTCTTCCAGTGGGGGGGCAGAGGACCGAGGGGTTGCCCCTCCTGGAGACCCAGCCATGGGGCGGAGCGGGAGAGTCCTGGAGCTGCCCTGGGGAAGAATCCGGGCTTGTTGCCTGCTGGATCAGGGCCAGTTCTCGGTTCTGCTTCGGGGGAGCCCAGCGCTTCAGGCCCGGGGGGGGGGGGG